GATTCTTCCATGTTGATGACTTTTTATAAACTGATCAGGTGGAATGATTTACAATCACTTATATAGAATATATTTTTTAGTTATTTCAAGCTGTCCACATAAGAATTTTAGACATAAATGACCACAATTAAAGCTATTATAAACTTGATAATTTTGATGATTATACTGTATTAAAGTATTATAACCTAAGTAATTGACAAGTTCATAGGGTGGTTGAAGATTACCAAAACTATCAAAGTATACTGCTTTATTATTAACTTTTTTATATGCAACCCAATGAGTTCCAGAACCATCTTTATCATCTAAATTAATAATGGCTGATTCATTTTTTCGAGGACCACTTATAGGTAGTTCATTTCGCATAAAAACTCCTCTAAAATGGGAAATTTTCATTTCTTTAGCATATTTAAGTAAATCTAGATCTGTAAGTGCTCGTTGAGGCAGCTTTAAACTTTTTTTTTTATACATCGCCTCTTAATACCTTGTCCTTTAACGTATGGTTTCAAATGAAGTCCCAAACCTTGTCGGTATGGTTTTAAATGTAGACCTTTGCCAAGTGCCACTGCTTCCAACTCTCTATTATGACGCTGAGCTTCCTTCAACTGCTCTTTTGCTGCACTTGCATCATTAACAGCTTTTGCTACACCAGCAGCTCCCCCAGTAAGCGCTCCAAGTGCACTTAGACCAGCAAAAATGGGAATCAATGGTAACAGACCACCAACTTTTGACGGAACAGGTAGAATACGAGGTGTTAAAACCTTTTCTCTACCACCTGCTTTCCTTACAGCTTTTCGAGCTGTTTCAATAGCTGACTTTATTGTTAAACGAGCATCATTACCAGGAATTATTGATTTTCTTGCAGCATCAACAATTTTTCTAAGATTTACTCGTTTTTTTGATTTTATCTTCTTTACTCGTTTCTTTGACTTTGTCTTCTTCTTCTTTACTCCCATTCCAAATTTTGATTTTGCTTTCATAGCGTTTGTTATTGCGTAAGCTGCAGCTCTTTCACTATATTGTGCGTCTGGAGCAAATACACGTTGCCACGCTTTGTCAGCTAATACTCTATCAGCAGCGTTTCTTTCTTCAACGTTTTCTCGATTTTTCGAGTAAGCAATATCGTGATCTTTACAAGCGGCGTCTAATGGATTAACACCTGGATCACCTCGGTCTAGACGTTTTGCTAACTTTGTGCCTGGTCCACAATATTGATAACCTGGCAAATGTAATTCAAATGGTAACTTGTTTATAAGTTTATTAATTAACCCTTTTCCTTGAGAGCGATGATGTATAATCATACCTTACTCTGTGAAAGTTAAAATTAGAATGACTTGTGAGCTATATAAGCGCTGTATTTATACCTTTAGCGGCAGTCTAAATCAGGATGCGGTTCAAGGAACAACTTCACAAGCTGCCAGTCGTCAATCTAGACTCGATTGTTGAACAACAAGACAAGAAAGTGAAGCGTCATGGTAGTTTATTTTCCGGTAGTATTCGAGCTATTTTTTGTGGACCATCAAATTGTGGAAAGACAAATGTACTCCTTTCTTTAATTTTACATCCTAATGGTCTTAGATTTGATAATATTTACTTGTACTCAAAGTCTTTACATCAACCCAAGTATAAATTCTTGGAACAAGTTGTAAGTAATGTTGAAGGAGTAGAGTATTTACCATTTAGTGAGCATGAAGAAGTCATTACTCCTAAAGATGCAAAACGGAATTCAATATTTATATTTGATGATATTGCTTGTGAGAAGCAAGATAATGTAAGGGCATTTTTTTGCATGGGTAGACATGTTGATGTTGATTCTTTTTATCTTTGTCAAACATATGCCCGCGTTCCTAAACATTTAGTACGTGATAATGTTAATTTACTAGTTCTTTTTCGTCAAGATGAGAAAAATTTAAGGCATGTTTAGGATGATCATGTTAATACTGACATGACATTTAATCAATTTCGAGAACTATGTTCAACATGTTGGAATTCAGACAAATATGGATTTGTTGTAATTGATAAGGATTCTGATTTAAATGATGGAAGGTATAGAAAAGGATTTGATAGCTTTGTAACACTATAAATATAAGATCATTCCTAAAATATTGTTAGTTCAATATGAAACCTTGTAATAATAACATGTTTCATAAAGAAAAAGAATATCTTCATCAAATTGCTAAAGCTAGCGAGGCAATTAGGCGAAAACATCGTATGTTAAAATTAGGAAAAGAAGAAGTTGAAAATGTGCTGACTGAAACTTTTAAACCGATAGTTCAACCCTTACAAAAAATTATTAACTTGACAGACACTGAATATGAAAATGTCAAGATTGAAAAGAAAGAGCAGAAGATAGATGATAGCATAAACTATGAAACTGAAAAATCTCTAGATGATGATAAAATAAGTAATAAATTTCTATACTTATTAAATCATAATAGAAAGCAATGTTTAGATTCAACATACGGCGTACGTAAGCTAAGTGATGGGTCACTTATGATTGGTGATTCACAAATAACTCTTGAAGATCAGCATGTAAAAATTGGTAATAAACGATATCTTCAAACGCTTGGATTACTTGAACTTTTATTTAAAAGTAAACCTACTACATCGCTTATAAGTGAAGATGATGAAAGAAACTATAAAGAGATTCTGATTGCTACTAACGCACACAAAAAGAAGTATAGTTCCTCTGAATCTATACGTATGGATAAGAGTTACAAGTATTTGAATTTTATATCTCAATTCTTCCCTCGAACACCTACCAAACAACCATCTGTAAGTGGTAGTTCATTACCTAAATTTATGATTACAAACAAAAATTTTCAACGAGAATATATCTATTGGGATGATCCAAATGAGTTGGTTGACCGTCTTAGACTATTAATGGCTTCTCAAGCTGCTGGAAATCCTAGTCACAATAATGAAATCATGTCTATCATTGAGGAACTACGTGAAGCTAAAATTATATATTAAGATGTGTTTTAGCAAATATCATTCATTTCAACAATGAGCATTGACGTGTTCGGACATCCTCTCAATCAAAGAGGAACAGCAAGACGAGGGCCTCCTGGAGTTGGTTTTAAACTTAATTCTCAAGGTAACTTTGACGTTGAAGGAAGAAAACTCTCTAATCTTGCTAACGCTGAAGAAGAAAACGACGCTGTCAATTTAAAACTTGTACGACATATGATAAAACACGAAGTGCGTTTATTGTATGAAGCTAGTGCCTCACTTAGATCAGAGGTGGACAATAACAACTTATTTCTAAAAGTTCTTGAAGACTCTATTACAGAAAAAATAAAAAATTTTGAAAAAGATATAAATCAAGACTTATCTTATCGAACAGCTGAAATTATTAGTGAATTGGATACTCGCTTAAGTGCTCTCGAGAATGAACAACAAAAAATTAACAGTAGTGAATGAACTTCATACTCAGGCTAGAAAAAATTATCCTCGACGGCGAGTTGAAATGCGTGATATTGATGAGACATGGCAAGCAGATTTAGTAGAAATGATACCTTATTCAAGAATAAATAAAGGTTTCAAGTATTTACTAACAGTTATAGACATATTTTCGAAATATGCTTGGGCTGTTCCAGTAAAAAGTAAAAATGGAAAAGATGTTTCTCATGCAATGCAATCTATATTTGCTAAAAAACGTATACCAAAAAACTTGCATAGTGACAAAGGAAAAGAATTCTATAATTCACAATTTGAAGCATTAATGAAAAAGCATAAAATAAATTTTTACTCAACATACAGTAATATGAAGGCTTCTATTGTTGAACGGTTCAATCGAACACTAAAAAGAAAAATGTGGATGCAATTTAGTTTACGAGGAAATTACAAGTGGTATGATATATTGCCTACTCTTATTTCCAACTACAATAATACAAAACATAGAACAATTGGAATGAAGCCTAAAGATGTTACTTCAGAAGACGTTGAAATTTTAAAAGAAAGGATCTCTAAACTGAGAAAAATTCCTTTAAGACGACCAAAGTATAAAATTGGTGACAAAGTTCGAGTAAGCAAATATAAAAACGTTTTCGAGAAAGGATATACACCCAATTGGACAACAGAAATATTCACCGTGGATCAAGTTGTATCAACTCAACCAGTGACTTACAAGCTCAAGGATTACCAGGATCAACCCATCAGCGGAGGATTTTATGAAGAGGAACTTCTTAAAGTAAAATATTCAGATATTTATCTTGTGGAAAAAATTCTCAAGACACGTGGAAACAAAGTTCTTGTCAAATGGCTTGGCTTTGATAATTCTCACAATACGTGGGAAGATAAAGCAAATGTATAATCTATTATTCGCAAATCGTCCCTAGTAACTTAACGCAAATGTCAATCAACCAGCAAATCAATCAAAGATTAATGTTAGCGTAGAACCTCTCTATAAATCAAAACTACTTCCAACAACAGACCTTTACACTGCCAGTGCCAAATTTAATTAACATTAAATCAATAATGAATCAATAATGAATCAATAATGAATCAATAATGAATCAATAATGAATCAACAATGAATCAACAATGAATCAATAATGAATCAACAATGAATCAATAATGAATCAATAATGAATCAATAATGAATCAATAATGAATCAATAATGAATCAATAATGAATCAACAATGAATCAATAATGAATCAATAATGAATCAACAATGAATCAATAATGAATCAATAATGAATCAACAATGAATCAATAATGAATCAATAATGAATCAAATCAGTTGGCACTGGCATTGTAAAGGTCTGTTGTTGGAAGTAATTTTGATTTATAAAGAGATTCTACGCTAACATTAATCTTTGATTGCTTTGCTGGTTGATTGGCATTTGCGTTAAGTTACTAGGGGCGATTTGCACATTTAAATTAATATAAGTTTTAATCATGTTATTATGTATATATGGAAGGATTTTTTAAATAAAAACACATGGAAATTGTATATAATTGCATTATTTATTAACAAACCTTTTATTTTTTTTACAATCATGTTTTACAAAATAATTCGTCGATTTTAGGGATCGCATAATGTCCCCACGGTAGAGTATCGGTACTCCCCGGTAACAAATACCGTTTGTCGTCTTGCGGACTTAAGGCTACTTTTATCTGTTTTACAGTTTCGACATTGTGTAACCGCGATCTAATGTTATATTGCGTTCGAGTTTGAATGTCAAAATCTCTCAGACATTTTACATAATCATCAAAGTGAATACTCTTTTTAACAACGCCGGATTTAATGCCTTTAGCTTTTTTAATAATGTCTTGACCTTCAACACGTACGCTGTACATCTTACTCCGCAAGCCAACAAATTCGGTAACGATCTTGCCGTTACATTCGTCTTTCATTAGACCGAGAATCTTTTTGTTGGCTTGCGGAATGCCGTACACGTTGTTTGCGGGATAGTCTGACGTATCGAACTTTTGGATGTCATTTTTCATGTCATTGTAGACATCTTTACATTTAATTTCATAGATTAGACTGTCTGTATCGGTATACATCAGTTTACAATTGTCACCGTATTTTTTTAACATATACCCGTAGTGAAAATCGTAAATAAGCGTTTTGGAAACATCGAGCACACTTAACCCCACATAGATTGGTTTGTTGAGTAGTACCTCGGTTTTACGCAGTTCAATGGCAACCAGATTTTCGTCGAATATCGCTCGACTATGGAAATTCGGGCGAGAAATAAGGGCTTCAGCTCCATAGCGGCCAAACCATTGGGTGACAAGCTTAATGTCGACATGTTTACGGACATTTTCCATTGTTTTACCGTATACCGCATTGTTCATGAGCTTGAACAAATTTTTCTCGAACTCATTCTTGGCGTTGGTTCGCATCATCGTATTATAGTCTATATATGGTTTAAGCCATGTTGATTGCTTAAACTGTAAGACTCGATGAATTTTAACAAGCTTAATGCCGTTGGCGACAACTTGTTTTAAAGTGCGGTAGTGGATCACATATTTTTCTTTTGGTTGGAGAGTTGTTAATAATTTCTCCTGTTTCGAGAGGGGTGGTTTCGCATTTTCTGCGCAAAATGGTATATCTTTGTGAGTATCGTGGAGATTTTCAGGATACTCCAAGTCAACTTCGAGTATGTACCCAACAGGTGAATCGTCAGGCACATTAAAATCGAAGGAGTTGTCAACATTATCAACCCATTTGAAGCCACCATAAGGGAGCGCTTGAGCCATTGCCCAGCCATATAGATTATTGGCATCGAAGTACATAATATAGCTTGTATCTTCATTTTTGTCAAATTTCTCCATATACGGATTATTTGCTTTAGTATATCGGTTGCAACATTGGCTAATGCCACCTCTAATACCAGACTCAACAAACATAATCATATCGATGTCAGTTATAAGTTGCAATCCTATGCTCGTGTACTTGAGCATAGCATCCCAAGTTAAACCGGGGGTCGTATAATAGTGAGCAGGATCTAACCCGTACGCTTTAACACATTCTTTTCGAAAATTTTCAAAGACATCCGCAAGTAACAATACATCAGTTTTCATATACAAATGTACATAGTCGCATAGATTTTTACAGTCAAACTCGGTCCATACATTTTGCGCATGCGCATACTCGTCATCAGAAATACCGGCGTCATACAGAGTACTATAAAATTTCTCTATGGGGGGTAATTCGGTTTCGTCGAGTTTGCTTTTGGAGTCAAAGTACTCGTAAGGGAACACACCTTTACGCGTTAGTAATTTTATTTTATCCGGATCTGTCACCGTACTGGCAAAAACGGAGTTGACGATTTTGTACTCGTCTAGGTACGATGCGAGTTTCTCTAGGGATGCTGCCATAAATCGCAATGAGTCAATGAATCGAAATTTGACCTCACTCCCCTTGACATGTTTAGTAAAAGAGATATACTTCTCTTTGTTAATGGGGAGGAGGTCAATTTTTCCTTCAAAGCTCGTCGAGATCGCGTGAATTATAAAATGGGCATCGTAACCGCTTAAATTGTGGAAGACTACGGGGATCGTTTGACAATCTTGATAGTTTAGATTGCACGATTCATGGGCAGCACCCCTATATTTGCCAGTAAGGTGACAATGATCGCGGACTTTCTTTTCGCTTGCCGGTATTTTCTCATTACAAATGTGACATATTGTCGCTCGCTTGAAGTCACTGATTTCTTGAGGAGTTAAGGCATTCATTGGTATCGGATTTTTAAATACATTATCAATTTTTTCAGATAATTGCCTTAATTCCTCAGTAAACCATTTGGCAGGGTCGGATTCATTTTTCGGACATGGTACATATTTACATAATGATTCATCGTAGCTGCATTTTATATAATAGCCTATGCTTAACAATTTGTGACGCTGGAATACCTCAGTCTTACTTAAATTGTCTACATCTTCATCGGCGGGAAGAAGTAGACTTTCACAGTCGGCGTAAATTACATATGGCACCTTTTCTTTATTCTTATAATTTTTAAATGTAATCAGACTCTTGTCAGGTTTTGGTAACGTTACTTTACACTCATTCATTTTTTTACAATTTTCAAGGTGAGCATTCAATCTATCTACAGATGAAAAGTAGTGTAAGCATCGGTCACAGATATGTTTTTTACCATTTTTAGCAGACAATTGTTTCGAAACAAGATGTGACAAATTTTTTATCCATACATAATGGAAATTCATAAAACCATCATCGTCATACAATACATTACTGTCAACACTTTCATCCGCATACATGTCGGCAACATACAAGAGATTTACATGCTTATCTCTTTTTTCCGCAGTGAGATGGAGAGGATGTGTTGAGAAGTCCCCATAGTATTTTGATAAACCATAGACATTAATTGAAATATCATTTAATTTTTCAAATTTCGAGACATTTTTTAACGTTACTGGGAAATCTATTCCGTCAAAATTTAACTCATTTTCAAATTCTTTATAGTTGGAAACACGATCACTTCTCACGACATTTGGATGTAAGGCTGACAGTACCGCCCACTTAAAGCACTCGTTATCTTTGTTTTGCACGTTAATACAGGCTTTCTTTCTTTTAATTTGTGAAGGTAGATCAATGTATGAGCTCGCACGCATTGGATTGTATTTATTTACATTCACTTCAAGTCTTATAATAGACTGAAGATTCCAATTTGAACCCTTTGCGTAAAACTCTTCTACACTGCGCAAGATTGGCTGCTTGATGTTCTCATCAAACCAATCATCTAAAAGGGTTGTGGGGAAGATGCTGTTAGCCTTAGTTCCAAACGGGATTGGCTTAACTACTTCTTCCTCATTCTCAACCCTTTTAAAGTTGGCAATGAGAACACCATACACCAAAATAGGACCATATTTGTTAATAGCATCTCTAATGCGGTCCTGAAAAAGTCTAGACGCATCATCCAAAAACGCACTAACATCAATGTGCACTAGATTCAGGACCATATTAGTGTACAGCCTACACGCAAACGCACTCTCACATTCTTCCCAGCGAACACGTTTATTAATGTCTGGGTCACCGATTCCAGAGCCATCTACTACGTGGGACTCAAATAATGCGCGAAACCTTATGATGGATTGTAGAATGCTCACACATCTTTGCTTTTGATGTGTGAAGTACATCGACTTGAGAATGCTCGATAATACGTTTTCATGTTGTGAGCATTCTACAACCCATCTCTCAACGAATGAACGTCTTAAATTGACGTCGTCTAAAAGAGGAATCAACTCTAGAGCCTCCTTGATGAGAGTAACAGTTACATCACTCTCATCAAGGATTGTACCGTAATTTGGATGCTTACGTGGTCCATCGGTAGTCTTCGCCTTACGCTTCATCTCTGCACCTAAAATTAAACACTTACAAGCTAACAAAAAAAAAGAATAAAGAACACACTTACAAGCTAACAAAAGAACACACTTACAAACTAACAAACTTATACTAAACAAAACGAACTTACAAACTAAAGAACTTAACCTACAAACCAATATAAAGTAAATGCAATAAATACAGTAAATGTAACAAAAAAAGACAGTAAATATAACAAAAAAGACAGTAAATATAACAAAAAAAAAAAAAGACAGTAAATATAACAAAAAAAAAGACAATTAGTGATGGCAAGGGGAATCTGCTGATGCTGCTGCTGCTGCTGCTGTTGGAACCGCTGAATCTGTGAACAAAACAGCTACTGACTAAACTCGCTAAAATCCCTGAATATATACCCCGAAATCCCCACTCCTACCTTTCACGCATGCGCACTATACCATTTACCCCCACTCCAACCTATCACGCATGCGCATTATACTCACATTACTCCAAGTCAGACTCATTATTCACACTTTTTTTTTTACTCTTGCGCAGAAAGTATATACATTTTATATGAAAACTTCTTTATTAAAAATTATTAATAGTGATATTAACAGTTAGTCGTCTCTGGCGACGATGACGACGGTGTTGCATGCGCTGATCGTTGACCGCTTGGGGATTTACCACTGGCAACCTTGATTCTACTGGCACCCTCTCTTCGAGTCGTGGTACTGGTGAAGGTGACCTTGACCGTGGTGGAATCCCTGGCGGGGTTGTAGGTAACCCCTGTTGCGGAGTCATCGACCTGGCTTGTGGGGTTGACTGTGCTCTAGGTATCGGCGGAGACCCCAGCTCCACAAAAGATGGCGTCTCTAACCTGTACCATTGGTACGTGGGTGGTGACGCAGGGGGTGGTGTTGGAGGTAGCGGCACCTCATTGTCTGGATTCTGTAACTAAAAACAAGAAAATAGATTATACTATGCTATATTATATTGTATTATATTATATTATATTATATTATATTATATTATATTATATTATATTATATTATATTATATTATATTATATTATATTATACTTACATTATGCACGGACACCTTCATCAGGTGACATTGGTAGCAGCTACACCAATGCTCCATAGTTGACTACCCACGACGACGCTGTGAACAGAATGTGCTGATCAACGGTGGAACGACAACTCTTATGGACCTACCCCCACCGCGCGCACACCCCACCACATGCTCACCCAACTGTGCACTCTCACCACGCGGTATGTGTGGTGGCTGAGTGAAGCTTCTTCAATTCATCACACCGTCGGTAACGCGCGAAATTTGAAATGGTATATTGAGTTATATGTTAACAAGAAAATTATTTAACTTTAATTAAAAACAATAATTATAATAAACATAATACATAAGTAGTAAATAGATGCACTTTGGAAATATATGACGTAAAGGTTGACTTCAATTAAACTACTTATATTACTATAAGTTAAATTTTACTTAATAATTATAAATTTTTTAAATTAAATATTAGTTAATTTTCAAGTTAAAATGAAGTTTATAATAAAAAAAATTAATAGTGAATTTAAGTTGAATTAAGGTTAAATAACAATTAAATTGGGGTTAGGTAAAAAAAAGTAATAACAAGTCAATGTTAATTAAGCTACTATCAAGTCAATATTAAAATAAAAACACATTTAAATTAAAGAAAATAAAATACAATATATAATACAATATATAACAAAATAATAATAGTTTATATATAACTAGTAAATATGCACATGTTTAAGTAACTAAACTTTTTCTCACATAATTATACATTTGAAATAAAAAAATTCAGATTTTAAAAATAAACAAAAAATACATTTGTAGACATAAGAATGGAAACAAAAATAAAATGAAAAAAAGATTGAATTGAGATTTGAAATCCAAATACTTTGGAGAAATATTAAAAATAAAAACTAAAAAATAAAAGAAAAAGCAATTCAATCTTTTAAAACTAAACAAAAAAATGCATTTTTGCAGACATAAAAATGGAAACAAAAATAAAATGAAAAAAAGATTGAATTGAGATTTGAAATCCAAATACTTTGGAGAAATATTAAAAATAAAAACTAAAAAATAAAAGAAAAAGCAATTCAATCTTTTAAAACTAAACAAAAAAATGCATTTTTGCAGACATAAAAATGGAAACAAAAATAAAATGAAAAAAAAGATTGAATTGAGATTTGAAATCCAAATACTTTGGAGAAATATTAAAAATAAAAACTAAAAAATAAAAGAAAAAGCAATTCAATCTTTTAAAACTAAACAAAAAAATGCATTTTTGCAGACATAAAAATGGAAACAAAAATAAAATGAAAAAAAGATTGAATTGAGATTTGAAATCCAAATACTTTGGAGAAATATTAAAAATAAAAACTAAAAAATAAAAGAAAAAGCAATTCAATCTTTTAAAACTAAACAAAAAATGCATTTGCCGACATAAAAATGAAAAAAAGATTGAATTGAGATTTGAAATCCAAATACTTTGGAGAAATATTAAAAATAAAAACTAAAAAATAAAAGAAAAAAGGAATTCAATCTTTTAAAACTAAACAAAAAATGCATTTGCCGACATAAAAATGAAAAAAAGATTGAATTGAGATTTGAAATCCAAATACTTTGGAGAAATATTAAAAATAAAAACTAAAAAATAAAAGAAAAAAGGAATTCAATCTTTTAAAACTAAACAAAAAAAAATGCATTTGCCGACATAAAAATGGAAACAAAAATAAAATGAAAAAAAGATTGAATTGAGATTTGAAATCCAAATACTTTGGAGAAATATTAAAAATAAAAACTAAAAAATAAAAGAAAAAAGGAATTCAATCTTTTAAAACTAAACAAAAAAAATTTTTCAAAAACAGTTATCGCTTTTTTCTCGTTGACGCTGTGGCCAACCTCTTCAAAGACTATGTGAGACGTTGGTGAGTTGTTCCTCTGAGAGGAAGAGCAGCAATTTCTATTATTCTTCTTCTTGGAGCAGGTCCTGCTTGTACACGTGGGAGTTGTTGTGGATTCGCTCGTGGTACTGCAACTCTAGGAATATGAGCTATTCGATGTACTGCTCTTGCAGCCGGTGGCTCATAAGGTTCTGGTACAGGTTGATGTACTGGTGCGAGCAGCGGAGCAGGTACCTCACCTTGTGCATTTTCTTCCTGTACTTCCATACCTTCTTCCACTTGTACTAAAGGTGAAAGTGGAACTGGCAATCGAGGCCGAGTTCTCGTGCGGATCCAAGGGGCAGGATCTCCTGTTGGATCGTAAACAAATGGTATCCTCTGAATCGGCGGCAAAACTTCAACACCTAAATTTTCTCCATGAATCGGCGGCAAATTTTCAACACCTAAATTTTCTCCATGAATCGGTGGCAAATTTTCAACACCTAAATTTTCTCCATGAATCGGTGGCAAATTTTCAACACCTAAATTTTCTCCATGAATCGGTGGCAAATTTTCAACACCTAAATTTTCTCCATGAATCGGTGGCAAATTTTCAACACCTAAATTTTCTCCATGAATCGGCGGCAAATTTTCAACACCTAAATTTTCTCCATGAATCGGCGGCAAATTTTCAACACCTAAATTTTCTCCATGAATCGGTGGCAAATTTTCAACACCTAAATTTTCTCCATGAATCGGTGGCAAATTTTCAACATTTTCTACTTGTTGATTGAGATGTTGATCCCATCGAGGAGGTCTTCTAATAAAAAGTTGAGGAACTTCGGGATTGTATTCCATATCTCGCATTGCTTCAATTGCAATTTCAATTTCATTCTGAGAAAAAAATAAATATAAATATAATTAAATAAATTAAATTAAAAAAAAAACATTCAAATAAAATATATTGAAAAGAAAAAAAGTATCATCTAATAAAAAAATTTTTACTCTCACATTAACATCTTTTCTTCTTGAACATTAGTCACTAAATTTAAAATACAATTTTTTTCTAATGTTAAAACTTGCTAATTGCACGTCTAACCTATAAATTTTGTAAACAAATGTGAAAAATTTACCATTTTTGCTGACAATACAACTTGTTGACTTCAAGTCTAACCTATAAATTTTAATTTGTGAATTTTCAGTCTAACTAATACATTTTATAAACAAATGTGAAAAATTTACCATTTTTTTTTTTTTTTGCTGACAATACAACTTGTTGACTTCAAGTCTAACCTATAAATTTTGTGAACAATCGTAAAGAATTTACACTTTTATAACATTTTAATTTGTGAATTTTCAGTCTAACCAATACATTTTGTAAACAAATGTGAAAAAATGTACTATTTTTGCTGACAATACAACTTGTTGACTTGAAGTCTAACCTATAAATTTTCATGTAATGAACTAGTGTAAAATATGTGAATATTTTACACTCTAACGTGGAAATATCAAAATATTTATATATAATCTAGTTAAGTATATATAATTGAAATTTCGAATAATAATGGTTACTTACAATTTCTCTCTGGAGTTGACGATATTGACAGTTTTCAGCGTTGCAGAAACAGTATACTATTAATTTCTTGAGAACCTTTAGAAAAAAAAACATAGGTGTTAGTATAAGTATTTTTATTTTATTCGAATTATATAAATAATTAGCACTTACCATTTTAAATTATTATAACTAATTATGAAATAAACTAACTTTGAGTTATGACAATCCAATGTAATTCAATATATGACAGGTTCGTTAAAAACATGGTGGCTCAGGGATGAACAGTTGACATAATTTCCCACATTTTTTCATAATTTTCATAAGAATTTCGATTTTCAATGATTTTTTAGTTAATGCATCAAGAAAAAAGTTCAACTAAAGTAGAAAGTTATAATTTCATTTTTATAAACGTAAACAATAATAAATTTATTACGTTGAATAATTGAAACTTTAAAAATTCCCGCCATACATAAAATAGTATAAAAATCAGGAAAGTACACACGTGAATTTCTAAAATAAATTTATGAAAATATTTATTAATTATTAAGATGATTAATAAAATATTATTATTATTAATTAAAAGCTTAAAATTATAAACACATTTATTTTTTCTTATAAATTTTATAGTAGAAAGTAAATAATTTCTTTATCAAAAGAATAAACCAATTAGAGCATTTGTATTCTCTCAGGTCTGGCGGAAATTAGATATGAGAATATCGAAAATGAAATCAGCGCGAAATTCAAATCAAACTTAACACTGAGTTTTTAAATGAACTACATTAAAATTATAATGAAAAAATGTGCATATTACTTACTTACCGTTATTAATAAACAATTTTATAGAAATATAACAAACATACAATTATTATATAAATATAACAACATTTAATTATTCATATTAAAAAAGAGGATCTAATATTAATTAGTTATAAATAATAAATTGCAACTTGAATAAATAAATACATTATTTATTAAATTAACTTAGTGAACTTAATTAGTATTTCAAAAATTATTAATCTGTTGATAAAATAGTGTCAAAACTTACCTTTTTACTTAGTGGTAAACTCAGTCAATAACACCTTTTAGCAAAAATATATTACAGACAATTAGTAGTTAAACTCTGTCGGTAAAACAAAATGGCGGCTCACTGTCCAAGCGGTTTGAATTTTTCAAATAAATTTTTAAATTTCCCGCGGTTTGAATTCGATGGTAACGCCATCTCTCGGAGGCAGCCGGAACTCAATGGTCGGTAAAGCAGAACACCCTTTCCAATAGACTTTAAATTTCCAAAATAAAATTTTTAAATTTCCCGCCAAGCAAGTTTGAATTCGCTAGTGGCGCCATCCATCGGCGGCAGCCGGCACTAAAAAAATCGGTCGGTAAAACAGAGAACCCCTTCTAAGACACTCGAAAGTTTGAAATTAAATTTTTAAATTTCCCGCCAAGGGGTTTGGAATTTGTAAGTGGCGCCATCTAGCGGTGGCAGCAGGAACTAAACTCGGTCGGTAAGGTAGAGCACCCCTTCTAATACACTTGAAAGTTTGAAATTAAATTTTTAAATTTCCCGCCAAGGGGTTTGGAATTTGTAAGTGGCGCCATCTAGCGGTGGCAGCAGGAACTAAACTCGGTCGGTAAGGTAGAGCACCCCTTCTAAGCCACTTGAAACTATACTATTTAGAAATCTACCTTACCGACCGAGCAACTGTCCTAGAACTCTCCTAGCTATACTACTAATTAAAATGGTTTAAATCTTTTTTGTCACTGATTAACTTAAAACACAATGTACCTAATTCATATTAAAAAGGTTGTGAAATTAACAAATCTCTAAATCAGAGATGTGAATTTATGGCGTTTTCTGGTATAAAGTTTGACAGAATCAAACACAACTTATCACAGTAATTGTGACTATAATGTTTAATTTAGATACACTTATATTTCATTGGACTTCAAATTAATATTATTTCAAGTTTAGAGATTAATTTTTTTCCGTGCAGTTGTGACTCAATGAGTGATTTTGAAGTTGACACTGATGACACCGAAAGCGACTGAGGAATTTTATTGAAAACCTTATTACACAATTAATGTTGATTCTTCTATATTCTATTCCATAATCTTTTTCTCTTCTGTTTCTTCTTCATCTTCTATTTTTTTACAATTGTAATTTATTTTAAAATACAGTTCAAAAATGACGTTATCAAATAAAAATTTTCATATGTTTAATTTTATTATTGTTATTATTTTTATTTATTTACGTAAAGTT